TACTCAGTCTGTTTCTCTCCTGATGGAAATACATTAACTTCTAGTAGTAATGATAACTCTATCCGCCTATGGGATGTAAAGACAGGATAAGAAATTAAATCCTCTGATAAAAACTACAAAGATATTCTTGCATAATTAAAAATCCCACTCTAATAAAATAGTGCAATATAAGAAGGTAATATTATTTTTTTTTGACATTTTAGCATCCAATTACATCACTACACTCCTAATATCTTAATCCGCTATATTCTAAGCATAAGGAGCACTTGTTCTCAAAGGAGAATTCATTAATCATCAAGGCACTGATTTGAGACCTTTATTGAAATCCAAAGGTAGTTGCATTTTAGAAGACCTCAAGTAAAAGTGATAATTATTATTCATAAACAACATTACAACAATTATTATTTTAAATCATTCTTTATATTTTTTTAATTTTATCTTTTTTTGTCTTTATTCTTAATTTTGATTTCGTAAGATTCATACAAGCTTTTCAAAAGTATTCCATTACAAGAAAATGTAGGGTATATTTATTGAGATCTCCTTAAAAAAAAAACTGATATTAATTAACATTTATAGAGATTTAATGTTAAATGATACTACATTAAATTAATAATCAAAACAGAGAACAGTATGCACAGATTTGAAGAGATGAAAATAAAGATCAATTTTAATTACTTAATTGAAACCTAACTTAACAAAACTGCATGATTATTCCATAAGATATTCTGATAATTTATTTAATTTATTACTATTTATAAACATAAGTCTTAATAGATATAATTAATAATAATGTAAAATTAGTTTATAAATAGTAAAAGATTTATTTACTAACATAAGTTAATCTTAGAATATAATCTAACCTATTGCAAAGTTAAAATATTGAAATTGAATGATTTTTAAAATTACTCTTCGAAATTCTTTCTAATACTTTCATTACCTATTCAATTAATATAGATAGTATAAAAGACTGAAAAGATACATAAATCATCAAGAAGTATTACATCCCGTAAAAGGATTAAGATTTAAGGAGATATTTATTATATCTTCCCTAACAACCAACTAACAATCTTAATTACTAATTAACTTAAAGAACTACTTGAATTTTTACATATATCAAATAATTAACATTTATAAATAACTGAGAGTATGTATAATCATTGTGAACTTCAAGAGGATTTTCACGAAATTAATTAATATCTAAACAAAAAATAATATCCCTCACCTTTTTAAGCTTAAAAACTGTATCTATTTTATGAACTCATCATCTAGTAAAATTTCACAATCAAATTTATTCATTTTGAAATTAAGAAATTATCCAAAATTTATACGAAAGAATGACCAATATTGATATTGTTTTATACACATCCATAATATTAAATCTTTAAAAAAAAACGAAATTTTTCTTTTCTAAAAAATGAAATTAACCCTCTAAAATGAATTGGATTATAAATTTGTAGAACTAACTAAATATACTAAAAGTACAAATAATTAATGACTAAATGGGAAATTGAAAATAGAGAAAATCAAAAAAATCTCGAAAGAAGCATGCTTTAACGATTAACTATTCTTACATTATCTATTAAACTTAAAATAACTTAATTTTAATTGATGATTATATTTAAATTTATAAGATTAAAAGATATAAAAGATATAATTATATTGAAAGATGAAGTATATTAACTTAGTTGTACTATTAATAGTTTTAATGCACAAACATATAATCATTTATATTAATTATATGTTTAATTCTATTTAATTTTCCAAAATACAAATACCTTTAGTTGTAATAATGGTCTTTTATCTTTCTATTAGTGATTTATAAATTCTCCTTTCAAAATTAAAAGCCCCTTATGCTTAAAATATTGCTTATTGTGATATAATTAAAATTGTTATATTTTCACTCTGCTTTAAATGGAAGTTAATACATTAAATATTTTGCTCGTCTGCACATGATGCAATATTTGGATGCTTTTTATCAGTCTTAAACTTAACAAGCGCTTAATGGTAAGCTGATATTTATTGAAAAAAAGAATATTATATACAATAAATGTATGACTAAAGTAAATATATATAAAATGATGAATAGTATGTAGAATTTGTGGTAAATTTTATATTGGAACTTTACAATAATATTAATATTGGGCCTTTTGTCAAAGTGCTTTATAATGGAGAGTATGTTCCAATATCATTAGATTTTGTAAAACTTGTCAATATACAAGATTTCGTTCAATTATAACAGCTTAATTAGTAGATTATCAAAAATTATGTATTGAATCAAATAATTAGACAGATCGAGTATTTATGATTCATTTATTTCATTTGGTTTATAAAACTCCAAAATGGGCATATATATTTTTAGTTTAACAATTCTCCTCCTTTAAAGTATTAAGTTGGATTC